AGGACAAGCTCTTCTTAGCACTTTAAATCTCTTCCACGCCTCAGCCAATGTTTCCAACGAACCTTGCTTGAAATCTTGCAGCTGCTTCTTAAGCTTTATGGCCTTTGATGTTGGGAAGTATTCTTTTATGAAGGCCTTGTGCAGCTGATCCCAAGTCTGAATGTGGTGATGTGGATTGCTATCCAACCACCTCTGCGCGTCATCCCTCAATGAGAAAGGGAACAATAGCATCTGTACCTGATCGTCATCTAGCCCAAGGATCTTGAACGTTTGGCACATCCTCAAGAATTTTGTAATGTGTGCCACTAGATCTTCTGTAGGGCTCCCTCCAAACTGATTATTGGACACCATGTTAATCACTGCTGGGTTGATCTCATAGCGGGGTGCAGTAATTCCCTGCACTTGAATGCTGTCATACTCTGTGATGTCCGGAGTAAGGAAATCTGCAATGCTTTCTCCCTGATAGATCAGATTGTTATATGGGACATGATGTTGGAATAGAGGAGCCTGATGTCTTGGTTGAAGAACTGGCTGTGGTCTAATAGGATGTGGACGGGCTATGTTTGGCTGTGCTTGGGGCTGATGATATTGTTGAAATTGATTTTGGAAGGGCTGAGTTTGTGGTTGATGGATGGGTGGATTTTGAGTGACTTGGGGCTGGTTTAGTCTTGGCTGAAAGAGTGGATTATTTTGCCCAATACCTTGCATCCCATATGTTTGATTTTGAAAAATGGTTTCGGGAGCAGTAGAGGTATTTTGGAAGAGTTGATAAAGCGGAGTCATGTTGATTTGGGGCGTGGCCTGATTTTGAGGAAAGAATGGTGTGCGGGAATTCTGAAATCCCGAGTAATTTCTAGGTGAAATAGGCGGTGAAGACTGGGGAGAGGTATTGACATAAAAATCAAGGTTACCAGAAGTGGTTTGGACCTCAGACGTCCCAGCAATTCCAGATGATGTAGGTTCCATGGTTGCGTTCTTCTCAAGAAAGACCTTGCGGTTCTGTCTAGCAAACTTCTCAATCTCAGGATTAAGAGGGACAAGTGATTCTCCCTTCTTTGAACGTGTATGCATAAACAGATCTGACCTGCAAGGTTAGCAGACAAAAATCCTACGAAAAACTAAAAACAAGTTGCTAAAATTAATTAACCCTTAAATCCGACACCGTCCCCGGCAACGGCGCCAAAAACTGATGTGTGTTTTCTCGCACTTAAAAATGATGTAGTAAAGTGGTTGAAAGTACGAGTATCGTCTCCACAGGGACGGACAAAAGGGAATTAAAGATTAACTAAATTCAGCGAATAAAAATAAAATAAAATAAAATAAAATGCAAGTGTGCGAGATTGATTGATTGAATAAAAATTAAATTAAACTAATGCGAATGAGCGTATAAAATAAATGTTTGGTTTCTTTCTAATTAACGACAAAGGGAACAGGGATTGATTCCGGGGTAATCAGATTTCTGGCAGAACAGGCCTAATTACATGAATTTAATTTAATTGAGCCTAGCTAATCATTACTAAGTTCTTACCGCTCTCGCGGCGTAGAGTACAATAATTTAGGGGACCAGGCTGATCTCTCATGCGACAAGATCCTAAATTATTGCCAAAACGAGCGAGCTTACGGCTCCTTAATCGCTACTAATCTCTTAGCGAACGATTAAGTGTGTGTGAAGGTGTCCTAGAATAAATTAGATCTCTCTTAATTCATTCTACATGCAATTGTAATTCTAGCCGCGGTTCCAGGTTACAAAAGATATCAGTTAAATTATTCAAACACAAATTAAACGGCATTCATGCAATTAAACTGACAAGAATCTAGCCATCAATCATGATTAACCCCTTCATCAATCCCAAATCCCTAATTAAACTACTCACAATTCATAATTGAAGAATCAACATAATTGGGATGAATAGAAATAATTGTCATTAATTAAAAAGATAGAACTTACAAAGAATCCCTTAATCTTGAAGAACAAGGCTTGAAAAGCTCTCAAAAATCGAAATAGGGTTTATCTCTCTAAGCTCATTCCCCCAAAAACAGGCAAAACAGGGGCTTATTTATAGAAAAATCCGAAAACGGGCCGAAAATCAGGCCGCGCGGTCGTCCTCACGTAGTGCGGGTCACCGCGCGGTCACGCGCGCGTTTTTCCGTCTTCCGACTTTCGCTCCGCCCGCGCGGTGTGCGGGCGCCGCACTATGCAACCGCGCGGGTACTTCTGGGGGCTATTTCTGGACCGCGCGGTGTGCGGTTTCGGCCGCGCGGTGTGCGGTTTCGGCCGCACATAGTGCGGTTCAGACTTCTTAAATTCTTGCTCTCAGAATCACCCGCGGGGCGTGCGGAACCGCACCGCGGGGCGCGCGGATTGCTCTAGAACCGTTTTCTTGCTATTTTCTTTCCCGTTTGCTCCCGGATACTTCTTTAATCAATCCAAAGGCCGTTTCTTCATCAAATCTTCGCCGTGAACCTTCCGGTGGCCTCCAAAACTCTCAAATCTCTCTCGAATGTTCTCCAACTCTTCCCGATTGCTTCTCTAAGCGCCGATGTCGGTCTCTAACTTCTTCAAATCAACTCCAAATGCAATGAAACTCGATCCAACGCCTGCTAAACACAACTTGAGCCAAAATTGAGACTTGCAACGCCTTAAAGCCAGGAAAACCATCAAAATCCGATCCGGACACGCATCAAATGCGTGTCTAAATACGGACTTATCACTACCCATAACAACAAAGTGCATCTCTTTTTAAGGGAGTTCATCACCTAAGAACTCCAAGTTAAGCGTGCTTGCACGCTAGTAGTTTTGAGATGAGTGACCCCCTGAGAAGTTTCACAGAGCGTGCACGAGTGAGGACAAAGTGTGTGTTTAAGACAATGGGATGGGCATGACATTTGTTTTTAAAATATTTTCTAACCTATTATAATATATGTCACCTCCTTGTTGAGAGTGTCACCGTGATGTCATCTGATCATAAGGTACTGAACGACTTGTTAATGTTTTTTACATATAGCACTATAGTTTTTTCTTATGATATTGACAAAACAAATTTAAATATTTTGGTGATCAGAAAATTGACTCATTTTAATCACCATTTAAACCGTTTCAGCCCCACCCCCAATTTTATTTAATGATATTATTAGTGAAATAAAAGATGTTACCGAGGCTAAACACTTGATAGCTTGAGAACACATGTCATCTTGGCATGGCATATAACTCGGGGAAGAAAATGATTGTAAAGTGGTATGAAACATAAATTTATTGTGTCCACCACCCACTATACACTATGCGTACACTCCATTTTTTATTGCTCTTTCATCATTCTCAGCTCGACATGCTTAGTAGAATGGCAAGTCCACAACTAATTGCACCTTTTGAGGACGTACTTGAGATTCCATAAAGGTGGGGGGGGGGGGGGGGGGGAAGTGTGTCTATAAAATGAAAATTGAAAGAAGTGTATTGCAGTATTTGTCTCACATCCATTTGGTATTAAATACGAAGTATGAAGTACACGGTAGTAAACCAACGGTTTGTTTGGTAACACTCAAATCGACTCAATCGTCTGATTCTGCTAAAATTTATGAAGTTCTGTCTGAAGTGACTGTATTGGCTGATTCTGCTAATTTATGAAAATATTGTATTGAAAATGTATTTTATTAATAAAATAATGAAAAACTTATATGAAAAATAGCTAAATTGGTAATTTGTGGTAATTTCAGTCGATACAACCAGAAAGGTAAATTCAACCTTACTTTTTCTTATTATTACACAATTCAGCGCGCGAAATCAAAACTTACGTGTTTGGTTAAAAAGTTGGTTGCTAAGCTTGATAAGCCAAAAAACAGAGTCATCAAAGGGCTCTAATACTCCATATATAAGAACAAATGCTAGTATTCGTATTGGATTACTTTTTATAACAAAATATGTATATCGTCTTGATAACTGATATAACATCAACACTAGCTAGGTTGATTGTTGTTTGTTTGTTTGACACTACAATTTAGAGTCTCTTTGACTTATATCGCAACCTTCGCTTGGGAAACTTAATTTATGCGGAAGATCATATTGATGTATTTATCTTACAATAGTTTACTTAAGATATAAGAATTGAAGAAAATGTGTTACAAATAATTTTTTTTAAGTATTATGCAATTCTACATAACAAATCAGAGTAGATTTATGAACCTTATATGACTCCCATATGGAGTCATATGAGTAGTGTGACACCATCCTAATCATTCATATTTTTAGGGAGTGTCACACTATAAATATGAGTGCTTAGGATAATGTTACACTATTGTTACACTGTCACATATGAGTCCATAAGAAAACCATATGGAAGTCTCTACAATTTTTGGTAACAAACAAGCTCTAGTAGTGTACGTTTTTATTTTTGAATGGTAATAGTGTACACTATCCACTTTTTTCAAATCAGTGCCTAGTTATCATGATAGCTTCGGCAAAATCTACACCCACGGCTAGAGCTGGCTTAATGAAGTGAGCATGAATTATTGTATATACAAGGGATGATAACATAACAAATTTTTTCTTAAAATATGAATAAAAGTAATGTGAAATTGCAAAAATGAGTACTATGTTTTTTCTAAATAAGAGTAAATTAATGTCTACCGGAAATTACATTACCATATTTTGTCATTATCATACATGAATTAATATGACCATATAATGCCACAATTGGGAGTATTTTTCAAGCATAGAAGTGATTACTTCCAAAATAGGACTAAAAAGGTTTGAAAATTCCAAAATAGGACTGCCATGTTTTTATTTCAAAAATAGGACTAATTATTGTCATGTTTTGGTAAAACCAGACTTCAAACATTGCAGTATTTTCCAAAATTGGCATTAATTACTCCTATTTTGGGAATAAAAAACATGTCAATCCTATTTTGGAATTTTCAAATTGTTTTGGTCCCGTTTTGGGAACTTTCTCTAAAAAGTTTGACTGAACATAACACCTCAATTTCAAAAAAATTAAAGTATGATGAATGTTAAATAGTAAATACAGAGTATTGATTGAACAAAATAAAAGATGGAAGCAAAAGATGTTTGATGTAACAAAGACATACTAGTATGATAAAAAAAAGTAATAAATAATAAATCTGGTCTGAAAGAGATATAAGCTCTTAATCCAAAATTAATACTAGTATATAAATTTTTTTCCTGCCAACTAAATTAAATTCCAAACATGGCACTGAAAGATCAGAAGAAGTATTGGCTTGAGTTGTAAATGACAATAGGGCTCCTCACAACATATCCATTGCTTCTCCATGTCAATGAAGCAGACACCAGTGGAACTGAGCTTGAGATGGAACTCACTTTCACCACAACTGTAAAATTCAGCTTCTGTCCAACACTATTGAAAGACAAAGACATAGGCTTGACACTGATCTCCACACCTTTTGGAGCTCCAAAAATTGTGGCATTGTAAGAAGATCTACCCATCCCAACATTTGTGACTGTTCTCTTGAACACACCCACTGTTATTGGGTTTTTATTGCCAGTTCCCAAGGCAAGTTGCATTGTGGGATAGTTAATGATGTCTTCTCCATTTTCGTTTGCATCCGAAACCCGGAGAAGTTTGGAACAATCGACGCTCCCGCCTATTATTTTGGACAATGCAGAGGAATTTCCGCTGCCTTCACCGCACAAGAACTTAGCGTACGACATCGTGGCGTTTTCCATGTCGTACACTAGTCCAGGATTCCTTGCTCTAGTTGGATTCACTTGTCCCGCCCCGTATGCGAATTCCGCTCCACTGTCCACCCTGGAGCTCATAGGCGTTGCTGTACATTCAAATATGATTTCAGAATGACAATAATTTAATTTACTACTCCGTATTAGTTAGAGGGAAAACACCCTACACTACTTTTATAAGGAAATAGTAGTAAAACATTGTACAGTACAAGTAAGCTGAGTACTTACGTTTCATTATCCTGAAAATAGGAATACCATATATATTATCACGAGGGTTGTTCTGTACATATGGATGCACAGGAAGCTCCGTACGGACAAAGCCATCAGAGGCCCTTCCTGGAGTAATTTCTTGATGAAATATTTTGAACATGTTCTGTTGGATCTAATCTTGTTATTAGTGCTAGATTTTTAGATTAATTATTTGCATGGGTTGATAATTAATAATGCATATGTTGTAGCGGCACTGATGTGCGTGTGTCGTTGCATTAGTGTTATTCTAATTTGGGTCAATTAGTTAAGTTGCACATTATGTTATTTTCATTTAGTATTACATTATGTTATTAGTTACACATGCATGTAACCACCTATAGACACGTTAGTTTAGTATTACATTAGTAGTGTGGTAGTGGGTGAGTGGAGAGTGGGCTTTGGATTGTAACCACCTCTACGCATGTTGCTTTGTTTATAAATTGAGAATTGTGGGTGAATCAAAGTAGGCTTTGAGCACCCCAAAAGAATATCATACGTTTATTTGTTTTAGTGCTTATGTACCTACTATACGCATGCATTGAATTTAGATAAAATACTTAGCACATTCTTCTTCCGTTAGCTTAGCAAATCCAACATTTGGTATCAGAGACACGTTTCTCGAGGTCCGAGTCTCCTTCGTTGTCAAGCACTGTCACGACGACGGAGAAAGGTATGTTGTCCGGTAAGTTGCGTCACCGGCAGCAAGGAGGTGATGACCAAGGTGAGGAGGTCATTGCCGTAAAGAGATCGTCGTCCATGTGTGAGTCGTCGACAAGATGCGGCATCGACGACAACATGAAGCCGAGTCACCGACGAGTTGTGTCACCGGTGGTGACCCTGAAAGTGAGTCATCGGCGAGTTGCGTCACTGGTGACAAACATGGAGGCGAGTCATTGGCGAGCTGCGGAACCGGTGGCGAACATGGAGACGAGTCACTGACGAGATGCGGCACCGGTGGCAAACATGGAGGCGAGTCACTGTCGAGTTGCGGCACCGGTGGCGAACATGGAGGCGAGTCACTGGCGAGTTGTGGCACCGGTGGCAAACATGGGGCAGCAAGCGTGTCACGACGGCGTGCTCGTGGTGAAAGCGTAGGAGGTGTGTCTCTCGTCGAGGCCAATGACGACATCGACAAATTGGCGCGGGAAGATGGCGATGGCGGCCGTCTACATGTTGCATCGACGAGATCGTGACAACGGGCTTCAAGAGATAAATAAGTAATAACAAGATTAGGGAGGTGATTGTTGGAACTAATCTTGTTATTAGTGCTATATTTTTAGATTAGTTATTTGCATGGGTTGATAATTAATTATGCATATGTTGTAGCGGGACTGATGTGCGTGTGTCGTTGCATTAGTGTTAGTCTAATTTGGGTCAATTAGTTAAGTTGCACATTATATTATTTGCATTTAGTATTACATTATGTTATTAGTTACACATGCATGTAACCACCTATAGGCACGTTAGTTTAGTATTACATTAGTAGTGTGGTAGTGGGTGAGTGGAGAGTGGGCTTTGGATTGTAACCACCTCTACGCATGTTGCTTTGTTTAAATATAAATTGAGAATTGTGGGTGAATCAAAGTAGGCTTTGAGCACCACAAAAGAATATCATACGTTCATTTGTTTTAGTGCTTATGTACCTACTATACGCATGCATTGAATTTAGATAAAATACTTAGCACATTCTTCTTCCGTTAGCTTAGCAAATCCAACATGTTCTTCATCAAGTCTAGTTTATCCATACCAAGTTTCAGCTCAAAATTCGATCAGGAAGATATTCAAATAAATTCTTGAAATATACTGCACATTATATGTTCGCAGAATGCGCCAAATGTTTTAAGAATTTATTTGACTTCCTTCCCGATCGAATTTTGAGCTGAAATTTGGTATGAATAAACTAGACTTGATGAATAACATGCTCAAAAATTTCATCACAAAATTTCACCAGGAAAAGCTTCTGATGGTTTTGTCCGTTCGAAGCTTCTTGTACATCCATATGTACATGATTATTTCTCATATTATCATTCCCCTCTAATGAAAGAATAAATTCAATTAAACTTTTTTTTAAGCTTAAATGAGTCATATATGAGAATTGAATTAATGGTAGTTATATTTGAAGATTCAAATGTGTGCACTCCGGTTGTACGTATGTCTATTGTCTAGTCTAAATCATGGGCATTAGGTTAGTTAATAAGTTTGTCTTTTGTATGGTGAATGGTGCGTGTTGGGAAAATTTGGTACATTTCCACCAAATGAGAATAATTGTATCAAAATTTAAATAAAGAAAACTTATCAAATAGTTAGAACTCAGACAAAAGATGGTTTCACTCAAAATATCAATTACATATTCTTAGTTTTAATCACGCCGCATAGGCGATTTCAAGCATTGCCCACTTATGTATGTGTACATATAATTTTTGTTTTTATTTTTGTAAAGTGAATGTATTATTTGTGAGCTGGGCCGGTCCTGAGAAAACGGAGACCCTGTGCAATAAAAAAAATTGGGCTTTTTTTACACAAGTACAAATATAATAAATTAACATTAATTATATTACTAATAAATTACAATTAATTTATGTCAAGTACATGTTATTAGTGAACCAAGTAATCAACATAAACGTATTCGTTTACAAAATACATTTCATTTAAAAACAAACATTCTTCGAGCATATTTTCGTAATGCATTATATTGTAAAAAATAATGCAACCTTATAACCTAATAATATCTTTTTGTTAACCTAAATTGCAAAATTAACAATCCAAAAAGTAATAATTTAAAAACTAATCTGGACTTGTGGGTTTTGGCTTTGTGTAAGCTCTAGACCGGTTGTGGCTTATTAATAACTATATTAATTATTTAAGTTCACATTTCCGTGCAACTGTGCTAGGAGAACAATGGCACCAGTTGGGTTGGTGTTCTTCATTGGCCTCTAGACCTCTAGTTATACTACTACTCATTTTTAAATTTTTTTGGGCCTTCACTTATTCTGGGCCCTGTGCGGTCGGGCTGCCCACACATGCTTTGGGTCGGCCCTGTTTGTGAGACTATGACACAATAATTCACTTTTTTCTGTGACACAACGATTCACTTTTTTCTGCGTCACAAACAATTCGATCACTTTAGTTCGTGTCGCAGACAATTCACTTTACAAATAAAAATGATAAAAATTCTCTGCACATACAAAAATGAGCGTGTACAAACAAACTTCTGTAATTATATTACCAGTAGTAAGGATAGCAGATTTGATGGTAGCAGGAGACCATTCGGGGTGGAAAGACTTGACATAGGCGGCAACACCGGCAATGTGAGGACATGCCATTGACGTACCAGAAAATAAATTGAATTGTGAATATTGTGTGTCGCCTTTCCGATGAGTAATCGATTGCAAAGGAGTGTATGATGCTAGAATGTCAATCCCAGGAGCCACAATATCAGGCTGCCCATTCCATGCAAGCAAGTGGTTATTTGATATTGAAACAAAATATGTGGATTTTCGATATGCTTTTTAAAACTGTTTCTACTCATATGTAGATACTTACACACACATATAACTAAGGATTGAGACCTAAGGATTGGTCTCAGTTTAAGACCAAATCAGGCAAAACCGGACGAGATTAAATAGACTATATATATTAGACTTAATTTAATAGGCTAAACCAACTTATACTATGTATAAGAGCAAAATCAAGATAATGAATCTCTTTTACATGACTACCTTAAGAATGCGTTTTACTTGTGGATTCGGGCCCCTGGATGAAAAAGATGCCACAAAAGGAGCCTTAACCTTAACTTCCTTGGATTTGAATATTACTGCAGATGGCGACCTGCAATAATAGTCAAAATCTATTGACGCTACATACATTTTAAATGTACTGTAGAAATACACGAAGTAAAAAACAATTAAGAAGGTCTTGGCTAAGCTAAATTAAATGATTATTCATTGGATAGCTAAATTAAATATGTCATTAGTGATAATAAATAATGTCATGTTTAATATCTTAGCTTGTAGTGCAACTATTTGATAGTAAATACTATCACGTCACTCATATTTCAGGAAAAAGCACAAGCAGTCCTAATTTGTAATTCATAACCTATTTAATCTTATTTCAAGAACTTTCCTTTAAACATTGAATCTAAACAATGATACGGGGTATACCCGTGATATAAGTGTATAAGAAATAAGAAAATCTATATAATATGAAAAGATAACGACTAATATTTGTTACAAGTACTTTTGTAAAAATATACGAAATAAAATTTATAAGTTCTATAAAAAAAAACTACCTCATACTCCCTCCGTCCCCAAAAAGAAGTTCTCCATTGCTTTTCACACATATCAAGGAAAGAAATTTACTGGGGGTAAATTTTACTTTTTGGACACTGTTTGGCACTGTTTGGTACTGTTTGACACTGTTATGATATAAATAATTTGTCAAATAAGAAAAGGGGAACTTAATTCAGGGACTACCCAAAAATTTACCCTTGACGAAGCTATCAAAGTTTGAAACCATAAAGCTAGAGTCTATTAGGATGTTTTTACTTGGGCTGTAATTTGCTTGTCTGATCTGTTTAAATCTAGTCTGGTCTGGTAATACCCATTTCTGTGTATTTTAAAACTATAAAAGTCATGACTGGTCTATTTAAGTCTAATATGGGAATGAAAACAATTCAAGTAAAAATATCCTTATACTTACGTACATGATACATACCTTGTGGAGTTGATAAAATGAGTAATAAATAGGCCATTGGTGCTATTAACTATGGTAGCAGGGGCCATAAAAACCAAAGCAGTATCGGGAAGATTGTCGCTCTCAATAACTGTGCCAATCCCTCCAAGACCTTTAACCACTGAATCAGCATCCAGTTCAGCACCATACTTGCAGTAAATGATCTTACCCTGTACCTTTGCCGGTGCCATTGATCCCTCTCCACAAAACATGGCATTATAATCATTTTGGCTGGAATTGGAAACCGCCACTCCCGTTGCTATGGGATATGATTTAGTATGTTGTAGCTCATACGTGTTCACTCCAATTCCCTAAATGTTAGATCGAAATGCACCATCAATAAATATAGTCTTTAATTAATTATAGAACACTATAAACTCATGTTGAATCAATTGATCAATGGTAATAAACTATTTTGATTATTATATTTGTGTGAAAATTTACAAAGGATATTTCCATATCATAAATAGTTTTGCATCTAAAAATATCATTGATAAAAAAAATAAAAGAATGACATAATTTTGTGGGACAGGTCGAATATGAGATGAAAAATTATACTCCGTATGTTTTACCTCTATTTTGAGTAATTTCTTATACTATATCCGTCTCGCTAGAAGGTTCTCATAGCAAAATGGTACGGTTATTTAGGTGATAATTAAATAAAGTACTTCAGGTACATTATGAGAAATGTTTTTAATAGGTATATATTATAATGTGTTAGTATTGATAACTGTGATGTTATAAATGTATTATTTTTAATATTTAATGACTAATTTGTCACTTAAGATTGTTAATTATTTCCTAAAATGGAAATGAGAACCTTCTAATGAGACGTTCAAAAAAAGAAAGTGGGAACCTTCTAACGGGGCAGAGAGAGTATGTGTGTACAATTAATGCACTATTGACAGTACAATTAATGCTACCAGAAGAATTTCCGAATGGTTTCATTGGAAGGAATTCAGGGGCATGGGTCAGCAGGGACAAGGGCCATAGGCCCAAAACTAGTAGAATTAAATTTAGGCCCAATTATTGTATCTATGCAATTGTGAATGTGTTTTAATTGTTGTTGTACTTCACTAACTTGTTATGTTACATTGTTTTTGAATTGTTAAGTTAAGCTTAAATAAGTGTAACTCAAACTTGTTGTTTTCCATTTGATTAAATTTAGAAATTTTTATTAGATCTGTACATTTAATTAAATTCAGGTTTATATTAAAATAGTTGAATTTGGATAGGTGGAGCCGTGGAGGAAAAGGAGAAGAAGAAATTATTTGTATTATTCATCTTGTTAAGACCCGGGTTCCATCCTAAAATGTCAACCTAATAGGAGGAGTAATCTGAAGCCTTATATAGTGTTTTATTGTTCTATAGTTTTCCGGTGTGGGACAAATACCTCAATTAGCCCCCTCAGCCTGAACCGGGCTGGACAATATCGGGGTGTATAAATGGGCCAACAGACTCTTAACAAGTTACCTTAATCATGGGTGCTAAACAAGCCGTCAAACCACAACCGAAATTGGCTCTAATAGCATGTTAAGACCCGGTCGGGGGTTCCATTCTAAAAGATCAACCTGATAAGAGGAGTAAATCGAAGCAGTATATAGTGTTTTATTATTCTATAGCTTTCCGGTGTGGGTGGGACAAATACCTCAATAATCTTCATTCAAAACATAATACTCTGTAGGTTATTTCCCGGCTAGGCCTTATATTGATAGGACCGGCCCTTGACATCTTCACATTTTTGGGTCAGTATTAAGGTTTTATACTCTTAAATATATTTTAGCTAGATCTGAATTGCTCCTATTAGATTGAACTTTTAGGATGGAATCCGGATCTTAACATTTAATCCAGATCTTTATATAACACTTACCTAGTAATTTTTTCACAATTTTCGAGTGTGAGAATATATTCAACAAGACACGTAGAATGATACATTTGCATAGGAAATTACTTGTAATTACGTAGTAGTAAGCAACTTAAATTAAACTTACAGAAATTGTTGATCCGCCGCGGCCACCGCCCAGCACCACATCGCTTCTGAACTGCCTATCAGTGCCGCTGGCGCCCACCGTAAGGAGCCACGGCGCATGGTTATACAGAGTGTTATAGGAAGGCCCATCATTCCCGGCAGAGGCCACCGTCAGTATCCCTCTCCTCATTGCATGAAACGACCCTATGGCCAATGTGTTCGTTTCATAAGTTTCAGAGACGACTCCTATGGAGATGGAGATAATGTCCACTCCATCTGCCATGGCGGCGTCAAACCCAGCCAGGATGTCTTGGTCCGAACACCCTACGTTAGCCCAACACACCTTGTACATAGCCACCCTGGCTGAAGGCACCGCCCCTCTCGCCGTTCCTCCGGCGAGCCCGGATAAGTTTGCGCCGTCTACCGGCCTCCCGGCTGCGGTGGATGAGGTGTGTGTCCCGTGCCCGGACACATCTCCGGGTGACATTATCTCGCCGGGAACCGTCACATTGTCCAGCTTGAAATATCTCGCCCCGATCACCTTGCTTCAATAGAAATTGCGTGAAACTTTAATAGAAATTGTTTGGAAAAACTATCGTATCGGTTCCGGTAGACCTCGTATAAAACACTCAATTCCTCCAAGTTGTAAAAACACTCAAATCTCAGCTGACCATCCATGTTTCAATATTTTTTTAATTTTTTTATATTTTGTATTAAAAGGTCAATTTCATCCCTACTTACGATGTTAATACTCGGACCGTAATTTGCTGGTCTAGGATGTTTTTACTTGGACTGTAATTTTCTGGTCTGGTCTGGTAATGTCTGGTTTCTTTGTATTTTTATAATCATCCAAGTCTGGTCTGTTCAGGACTGGTTTGGTATGGTCTGGTCTGAGACAGATTACAGTCCAAGTAAAAACATCCCCAATCTGATCTCATCTGATCTATTTAAGTCTGGTCTGGCATGCTCTGGTCTGGTCTAGTCTGTTTAAGTCTAGTCTCTAGTCTGGTAAATGTTTGATCTCTGTGTATTTTATCACTACGGAAGTTTGGTCTGGTCTGATCTGGTCTATATAAGTTTGGTCTGATCTGGGATAGAAAACAGTCCAAGTAACAACATATTGCTAGAAAATATATCAGACAAGACGGGAAGCTAAAAGGTCGATTTCATCCCCATTTCGCCTTCCACCTCTTGAGTCTGAAGCTATCTTTTGGGTGAAATCCATAAATGATACCTTAATTATTAATATTGTTGCATTTTGGTACCTTAACTTTTAAATGAATCAAATTAGTACCATAATTATACACAAATGTTTCAACTGACAATATTATACTACCTCCGTCCCGGAAGCAAGTTCCTTGGTTGACTTTCACACATTTTTAGGAAATAAATTTACTGAGGGGTAAATTTTACTGTTTCGATAATGTTTTGCACTGTTTTGATATAGATAATTTTCCAAATAAGAAAATAGGAAGTTTAATTTGGGACATCCAAATAAGGAAAGTGGGAACTTGTTTCCCGTACGGAGGGAGTATACAATTCCGGCCAAAAAATCATATGTGGCTTTGATATTTTTTTGTTAATATTAATATATTAACAAAAATTTTGGTACCTTAATATTTTTTGGTACCTTAATATTTTTTGTTAATATTAAAATAAAATTTCATTGTTTATTGTTACGAATGAAATAGAAAAATATAGTATATATCTTTTGTAAAATGACAATATTATGGATATCCTGTGTATTTAAAATTAAGATGACATTATAATTAAGTACAATAAAATTTTGAATTAATAATTACAAGTTTTCACTAAAAGTAATTTTGACAATTCATATCTTTTTTATTCCTACAAAACTATATAAGTATAAATTTCTACTTTTACACTTTTGTATTGTTTAACTCTTAATTTGGGATGTATGTCCAATTAGAATCCGGAGTATTATGAATTGAATCGGCTAAACAAACAATTTATTTTTGTATGAGTAGATAAAATTAAAGCCATCAATATAATTGTAGCGACAGCATAGTCCAGTTCAGTCTAGAACGAACTTACTTGTTGCATGAAAAGTTGGCAAAACCAACACAACTACCCTTCCATTTACTTGGGGGAGGGCCTAGACCGTCATCTTTAAAGCTTAATGATTGAGGTGTGATTCCTGACCAAGAATGATGTGGTTAATTTAATCATTATAGTGTCTGTATGTGTTATAAATCTTGGATTAAATAATTAAATGGAGTTATTCTCATGAAATTAAAGTAAGAATAAATCTTGAGCATTAATTTTATGATTAAATGACTTTAAATATATCAAGAATCCACTAAAATGTTGGATGAGAAGCGTGATGACATTTGCGTAAATAAATCAAACGCTTTCTTTGTTGCAAAAAGTACAGTGAATCTAGTATGAAATAATGTACCACATATGATAATGACATATGACCAAAAGTGAAGTCATTCACGCTTAATTTACACGGGAAGAAATTAAATTGTAAGTAGCAAACAATGTGGCATTATTGTAATTATGAAAATTTTTAAATAAAAACACTAGAATAAAAAAGCACAAAAATACTTTTTAAGCCCTTGCGAACACTCCCTAAGAGATCTAATTTGGAAAAATGTTAGACATAAGCAATTCTAACATGGAGACCTGTTTTGATATATTGTCCCATATAAAGTTACCATCATCATCATCATCATCATCATTTTTGTTGTTGTTGTTATTAATATTATTACAACTATTATTGTTATTCTCATTCTTGTTATAATATCAGGCTAAGATACAAAATCAAATCTGGTTACTTAATCATGATATTAGTCAAGAAATGAAGATGCATGTATGTATTAGTGGGTTACCTGTATCAAGAACACCAACAATAATGTCACTCTCAACCTTCATATTTCTAGTGGCAGTTGGAAGCAAACCAATGAAATCCCAAGATCTTGTCGTGTGTAGTGTGTGATAGCGATTTTGGAGAACCTGTGTAACTCCATGCATTTCTACAACGCAAAAGACACAAATGTCCCATTCAAATTAAATCATATATATCTAACTATAATAATAATAAATTGCATATAATTGTGATTGCACTTTCAATCACTCATCATTCGTAAAAATGGTATGCATACATGATACACTTGCACAAACTAAAATATTGTACTCTTTCTTTCAAAATAATAAAATAGTTCAGAATAGCTTCATCAATAGAACTGAATTGGTAGTTTGGTACTAATTGGGATAGAATCCTAGAAATATCATTTGTCTATAAAAACAATAACGATGTAAAAATTATCATAAATATATAAAAATTAACAAGAATCAACACTTTCAGTATAGAAAACTTTGTTGCCTCAATATCTCTTGCACCAGTTCCCTCTCACTAAGTTTTGGAGGGTTTTGTTTCCCTGTGTCAATTTTGGCATTTATTTTCCACCCAGATAGTTTAATTTCTTCTTATTATAGCAGTCATCATGCTCCTCAAATCATCTCACAATTTTGGGGCTAACAACCCCCGTCTATTGGGGAAACACAATGCGACCTCTTCCAACCATGCGAGCTTATAAGATAATGTGATAATCTGATGTACTTTGAATTATACAATGCGATGTATAAGAGATATTTTATAAGTAAACATGAAACTCATTTCACTATGTGTATGGAACTATTTCACTCTACCTCTATCACTTAGACTAGTGAGTAATCCTTTTGAATGGTCTCCTCTCGCTCCCAAGGAAGCCCATTCACTCACATTTACATCATGAGAGTGTGAGACATCCTTGATTATTTTTACAGAAAGACTCTAACTTTACTCTCCGAGTGGGACTCTCACGTACTTTCACATTCTTTAAGAGCTCTTCATCTCAATGTTGCTTATGAATGAGGACTCTCACCCTATTCATATTAATATCTCATGCAAAAGGCTAGCCTTCTCTAGAATTTCTACCTCCCTATATGTTTCTATAGTGTTTTAAGAGTACTGACAATGCAAACTTGTATAACCTTTTAGAAGAATCCAAAAGACTCACATTTCTTAAGAATGATGCTTCCACATGATTCTAGAAAATTTCACACTTAACTTCTCTAGAGAACTTTATAATATAAAGAAATTTCAACCACATGAATAATTTTTTGGGAAAAGTACATAAAAGGTATATGTGGTTTGGGCCGTTTTCAGATAGGGACACGTGTTTCATTTTTTTAAAAAGTGTGACATGTGTTTCAATTCCGTTATTACATCTGGGTCATGGCGTCTAACAAATCCCGACAAATCCGTGTCAATCCCGTAATTTCTTTGTAATGCAATCCACCACCATTCTCTTTTTTGGTAACTTGATATAAATCAAAGGTGACAACTCCGGTACCCTTCTAAAAAATGGGGTACCGTACCTACCATTCATTTGATTGGACCACACCACTTTATCATTTTTAATTTAGATTTAAATTATTCAACTGCTACATTCTCATTGATCCATGTGGACAAAGGTATGGTACCTTATGGGTACCATAGAATCTACCTAAATCAAATGGCCCATAAGAGTCTTCCTCCCATTAGGATTCTCCAGGAGGTTGGCTTGCTAGTGGAATTGTTATGTTACATTATTCTCTTGTATGATTCTATTCAACGTTTTTAATTAGGGCCAGTCTTCTCGCTTTTTAGGCGAGTGATTTTCCAACTTCTATTTTGAAAGTGAGATGAGATTTTGTGTCTACACAAAGGTTAGTACTTGGTAGGATGATTACACAGAAATTCATTATGTCTTTTTAATTTTTATTAATGCTTATATGTTTTTTGGTTTAGTTTGTCATTGCTAGTGATTATAAAGTTGTTTTCTACCCCTAAAAATACATTATTTTGTTTGAAAATACAAATAAAAAACTGTATTTTATATATTACGTAATAACTTTATAAATTAATTCAAAAGATTGCTTCATAAAATATTTGAATAATGCTAAACTCATTCTCTCAATTAAAACAGAACGTATGGAGTATGTATGTCAGTATGTGTGATCAGTCTATTGTAAGTACTTTTGATGCTTTCCTATAACACCCACATCTCACAATGCCTTTACCACGCACTTCTGCTCACTCATGCATGACCTGAGAAACTTACAAGCGAGTCACTCATCCTAAAACTACTCTCATATAAGTACACAAAAAAAACACAAAAATTAACACACTAATTATAAATATTTTATTAAATTTTTATAATTGTTTTACTATTTTTTAATATTTTTTACGATTTTTTAATATTTGTTATGATTTTATTATGAATTAAAGCATTTTATTATGAATTAATACCCTTAGGAGTGTTAAAGACCCAGGGTTCCATCCTAAAAGGTCAACCTGATAGGAGGAGTAGCCCAAAACCTTATATAGTGTTTAATTGTTTTATAGCTTTCCGGTGTGGGACAAATGTTTCAACACGCCCCCTCAGCCCGATAATCAAGTTTGACTGATAATTTTTTATGTGAAATTATTTAAAATGTAAAAATTATATGAAAATGTTTTTTTGTTAAAAATACTTTTATCAAAGTAAAAAAGTTATAAATTTCTCACAAATATAATAATTGGAATCATTGTCTAAAGTTTAATATTATTGACCAAGAAAAAGTTAATTTGACCAAGTTTTATGGTACGAAGAGAGTAATGTAAAAAGCTCAAACAC